ATACAAGACATTATCTTAACAAGCTCCTTGTAGGGACAAATCAATGTCATATTAGTGCCAACTTTCTTCCATTCACTTACTACATGAGTGTCCCTCTCTAGGCAGACTCCTTGCGTTGGTTCCTAGGCAACTGTAATAATATTGCTGCATGTGTGTGTCAGGCATTGATTGCCTTTGGGACTTTTTTTGTATTGTAAGTGAACACGGGCTAGTCCATTTTCCTTTTCTCTTGGTCTCTGAGGGTTTTGAAGGGTGAATCTGTGATGCTCGCAGGTGAGCAATTCAGAAATACTTGCAGACGGGCACATGTGCATCACGTGGGATGGTGATCATGCAAGGCTTACTTCAGCTACTGTGGTTTGCTCCTTGGGTTGTTTTTTGTTATAGCTGAGTTACAGGTGGCTTAATATTTTGGGTGCTTGGTGAATGTGTAGCATCGTCTGAGGAAAACATAATGAACAACCACATTTTAGCTTGTTTTTACTCTGCATGGGGGGGGAGAAGAAAAAAAAAAAGAGTTCTGGTCAATTAAGAGTTCAGCCCTAAATTGTAACCTTACTGAAATGCCTTTCAAGGGGTTACTTGCTCGAGCAAATGTGTGCAAGGTCTGGCACAAAGGAAGTGAGTTTTTTAAATGGAAAAAATGAAAGTTAATGTGTAAGGTCCCAAGAAAAAGGATTGTGGGTGAATGTGGCACTGCAGTGAGGAGAGGAAGCTCTTTGCACTTCTCAGCTCTGCTAAGAGCTCCTGGTGGAGTCAGCTCACCTCTTGTTTCCTGTTTGTGAGGTGGGAATGACACTGTATCTGTCACCCACCACCCGTTCATTTCAGGGACAAACAGCATAACCACGAGCTGCTTTGATTCTCCGCTTGCTGTTTGGAAGCCAGACAGGCACAGCCCGTGCGCGTGGTACTAAAGCTGCCCTTATCAACCCTGCTGGTCCCAGCAGCTCCATCCCAACATGGTCACACTGGTCCGTCAACCTGTAAGGTTCCTAAGAGACAAATAGAACTCAGGTGACATCCTGGGCCACTAGTTGATCATTCCTCTTTTATTTTGCCTGCTTAAGGTGGAAGGTCACTGAAACCTCTTTGTGTTGCGCGCCCCTCTTTGGGCACCTGATCTTACCCATGGGCACTGAAATGGTGGTGCGGTAAAGAGGAGAAATAAGAGTATAATCAGTTGGTTGTGCAGAATCTGGAATTACTTGAGCCATACACCTGTGAAATGCTTGTGGGAAGCATGAAAAGAATTTGCTGGAATTATAGTTTGCCTAATATCAATATGCATATGTTTCAAATGCCCTGACTTAGTGGGAGATACTGACATTGGCATTTCTTCAGCATACAAGGAATGATTTTATGCTTTTAATGTAGAAAGGCATTTCTTTTGTAGCTAGTCATGATAATAGTAAGAGTATTATCATGCCCGTCTGGCTGTGGAGAGCTTTGCCCTTTCTCTCAGACTTTTCAGTGCAATAGAAATTATTTAGAGGATTGAGTAATTCCCTGCATTTTCATTACGCTGGTGTTCAAACAAGTAAAACATCCTTAAAATACAAAACACCCCCTATAGTCTCAACAGAAACTGAGTTGGTCAGGAAAGAGAAAAAAAAGAAAGTACTGAAATAGGGAGGAAGCTATTTCAGATGCCTTCTTAGAAGACTGAAAGTCTGTATGAAAACAACACTGATTCCCCAATTCCTCAAATAATGTTTGAAAAATAGCAAGACACTGTTGATGTGCAGTATCACAATATCATTCCTTAAAGAAGGGAACACGAAAGGCCTGAATGGCTAAGGGCTCATCAGCTTATTCTCAGTGGAGTACAGAAGTCCCACAAAAGATGCAGGGACTTTTTGGACTGTAGCAAGAGAAGAAGCCAGGATTCAGAAATAGTACCTGAACCGTGAATTACCTGCGACAACGACTAAGGGACAACAATTAAGGGAAAGATAACTAAGTGTAGTGAACTGTTATATGGGTCTTTAATAGACTACAAAATGTATTTTTTCTCTGCAGAAATAGAAGCATTTTGGAATACTGAAGCTTGAAAACAACAGTAAAGAAAAACCATGAAACTCAGATGTGGAGATAAAATTAGATGTCACAATTAAATAAGAAGTGATCTGTTTGTAGTATTCTAAGAAGGAATATAATTTTGGTAGTTTTTTTGGTATCACTGGAAAATTTTTCACAGTGAGATTAGGGATGGTCAACCAGTTGATATTTCCAGGGTGAAATATCTTGACTGTATCTTTACTGAAATATACACTTGACTGTATTTGACATGAGGAAAAGCACAGCTGTAGACCGCTCGGGGTAGCATAGCTCCGTAAAGGGAGTAACTTACCATCTGCACAAAGAGGAGCAAGATCAGCATTGACTCACTCCACCCTGGTGACTGAATTTCTTTAGTGCGATGTAAAGGCTGACACAGGCATCCTCGCTACCTGTCCTTACAGAGAGCAAGAGGCAGCCTTGTTTTTCAACTCAGAGCAACGCTGTTTGTCGTCCTCTGCACCCCATGGTTGGGTCTTCACCGGAGAAAGCAAAGAACAGGTCTTCAGAGCAGCGGTCACTGGTGGGGCTCCAGAATGGACCAACAGTGGTTGTGACGCCTGCCGGTGCAGGGGACTGTGAGATCCAGGCTTGGCTGCTGGTGCTGCCTCTGGTTAGCACCTGACAGTGTGGGGTCCTTCAGCTGTTGTACCAGCTCTCAGAAATAACAGCACAGACATTTCTTTTTGTTCTGAGTGACGTGAGAGAAGTTTGTTAATTTTTTACACTGAGCTTATTTCTTAAAAATGAGTTCATTTTAATTTAAACACCATCAATCTTTGTTTTCTCTGCCAGTGGCCTTTGACTGAGGAGAGCAGGTGTGCCAGCTCCTCTCATCCCACTCCATCCATGTCAGCAGTAACGTCTGATAGGTTTTGTCACCTCCATGTGTACTGTGGAGAAATATTGAGCGAGCATAGGGAGTGGCAGCGCGAGAGCACAGAATTACACTCTTCATCAATCATTACCCTCTAGCAACTTCCAGGGCACTGTAAATTGCTGACTAACAAGGGAGAATTAGTTTGATAAAATCACCATTAGTGTCAGTTCAGAATGATGTAAAGTTTTAAAGACACTGCTGTCTTCTCTGTCTCTCCATCATCCATTAGTGTGTCTGATCATGGAGATCTCGATCCAGCAATGTGTGTAAGCACATGCTTATTTGTAGGCAGATTAATAATCCCAAGGAAATCACTGGGATACGAGTCCTAAGTGTTTGTGTGCTTCACTGTATTAGGGCTGTAACGCACTCTCTGAGCTCAGAAATTATATATCCCTGTGCGAGCCAGTTTCTTGATTCAAAATCAGATTTAGACTCACTAGCTGAACTTAGAAATCTGAAAGTCAAGTTTTACTGCAAGGAGCATAGAAGTTAGTAGGTATACGGCATTGTGCTCTGCCTCTTTAACCTTCCTTTTCTTGCTTGTATTTGAGTTTTATCAGTCTATGCTAGCTAGAAATGTGCCTCTCTAAACCTCTGCATAGCCTTCTCAAAGCTCTGCAGTTACTAAAATTTAGACCGTGTTTGGACCCATGCATAAAATTTAAAGTGCAGCCAGATCAGGAACGGTTTTTGAAAAGTTACAGGTGAGAAGCAGATGCAGCTGATGTAGCTAGCAGGTTGTATTACCTTATGGACTTCCCTCAGTATTGCCAAACTGCACGCCAAATACTACAGTTTGCCATGTGGGTTCTCAGTGTTTGGGGTTTGTTTCTTCATGTTTTCAATTTTTCTTCACAGTCTTGAAGACAAGAACCTTATTTCTAAAAAAATCCAAATAAAAAAACCCACTTGACAAAAGCTCAAAGCAAACAAAAGAGAAAAGCCACTAAAGTTATAATAATGGACACTTGGATTCTCATGTAGTCATTTGACTACGATAGCTGTTGAAAAGTGCAAGGCATTTCAAGACTTCCAACAAAATCACCAGGGTGACCAGTGCCCCTCATTTGTATTTCAAAAATGCTCTGAAGTCTGATGTTCTGTTGCTTTCATTATTTAATTACCCAAACGGAATCTAGGACTTTGTACCTCTGACATTGTCATCCTTTTATTTTTTCATTTGGTTACAAGGCTGTAGTGACTTAACTCATCACTACAGACAGTTATTTGCATTTGAAAGGCTGATAATGTCCAGCTGTTGAGATGTAGCCCACTCCGTGATCATCAGATGTTTTACGGCTCCACAGGCATCTGGAACTGGGGCTGGATTTGCTGTGACATTATCTCTATTACCTTAGAGTGCCCCGAAAGTAATCGAGTCATCTTGTTCGAGCGGTTATTTGAAGTCATCACATTTGAGAACAGAGTAGTACAGCTTTGTATGCCAGAAGCTGTGATCATGTTGATCTAGTATGATCTTTCACAGGACACTGAGCAGAAAATCCCACCTACTTCTGTTTCATTTTTTACTTTGTGGGATGACTTCTTCTGCTGTCAAAATGGACTGTACTTTACTCTCTCCAGAACAATTGGCCACTGGAACTTCAGTGAGGAAAATGTCATATCTTTACTGTTGCAAATGCTGAAATGTATCTTAATGGAAAGGAATATTGTTACTCTTTGTTTACAAACCAAAGCAGCAAACTTGTCTTTCATAAAAACAAAATTAATGCCTATTCCATGGTAGATACGAATGCTAGTTATTAAGAACATAAGTATTAATCTTTTAAAAAAATTCTGTCTGTGAAGCAGAAGTGCTGGGACAGATGCTCAGCAACTGCAAATGGATGTAAGTCACCTAATTTTAGTGGTCTTGAATAGCTTTACACCAGCTGAGCTGTGGGCAAGGCTTTTACAGCTCCACTCTTTTGAAAAAAATAGTGCTCTTTGAGCTACCAGAAGTGATTGAAGGAAAGTCTACTGCCCACATGCGAAGTCCGTTGCATGCTCTGGTTGTGCTTTGTCATTCAATTTTGACACTGATTTGTGTTTGCAGGTGTGAAAGCTGTGGTGCTGTCTTCCACTCTGAGTGCAAAGTGAAGGCTGTACCATGCCCCAGGTGTGTGCGTAAAGAATTGCAGAAGAAGCAGAAATCCTTCTGGAGGCAACTGAATATGGACGAAAACTTCGAAGAGTCTTGCAACATGTTTGAGTTGTCATATCAGAACACATGAGTTCCTTAAGGCAGTAGCAAGCCTGAAGATAATCCCCTTCCCAGCTGCCAGCTCAAGCAACTTTGAAGCTTAGCCAGGCAGAAATCTTTTTGCAGAACAGTATCTGACCTTCTTCATGCGTGAATAGCAGCTGCCAAAGTGGCCATAAAGCCTTGTTGGCTGTGGAATACCAATGGTTAAACTGCATTTTGCATTGAAGTCCAGCCACTAGCTCTCGTACAAAATGTGGTTTACTTAAAATGCTTTAGGTCTGGCTAATTAAGCACTCACTTTTTCTTTTCCACCTCTAGAGAAGACTTTTCCTTAAGGCAGAAAATACGTGCTGTCATGAGCGCATTATTTTTTACGTTGTTCATTTAGAATTGGTGAATCATCTACTTATTTGAATCATCTACTTATTTATATCTATTATTTATTTATTATTAGCCTTGGCAGAGGTTCTGGCGAGGTGCTTCACAGAACCCAACAGGGCAGGAATGACTTTAAACCCACCCGCTCCTCCTGATGTTGACGCATGGCTCCATTTCCTCATGTTTCCACAGAGCTATTTTTAAAGCATCAGTGCATTTACATGTCACTCCTCCCTGAGGGGAGTATCTCTTATAAACCTTATTCAGGGTGCTTGCAAACATAAGAGGTGGAATAATTCCTTCAGTTATGTTTATATATTTATAACCATGCCAGTGAACTATTCCATACACAGACAAGTGGGGGTCTTGCTGCTGTTTTTGTTCCGGCTGGGTATATCTGTTCAGCTCTGTCAGTGAAGTTTTACGCTGGTTATTCTTGATCTATGTGAGTTCACATCCTTGTCTCCAGTAACATGATGTTGGTTCTGACCTTCTGCTAGTCTCACGTTTTAAGACATTTTAAGTATCCACATTGGTTTTGGTTTTATTTCGTGCAGTTTATGTTAAAAGTTTCTCTAACCTGAACCTGTTAGACTGGTAGTCAGGAAAGTAGTCTTGCCCATTCTAGAAAATACCTCCAGAATTGTGAAACACTACTTTGCCGTGTTCATGTGCCACTTGTGTTCTTGTGTTCTGCATTCTCTGTGAGCTCTAAGGGATTTTATGCTTCTGTAGTCACTTCCACGGTGGAGAGTGAAATTTCTCGACGTATTGTTCTCCTCCACACTCCTGGAACACAGGGGAGTATTAAACATGGTAAATTACATATATTGTGAAAGGGGAGTACATTATGGATTTAACTGGGGAGATGTGTGTCATCACTGGCAGTATGTTTGCCTCATTGCGGCTTCACCTCCAGTGAGCACTTAGAGATCATCCCCCCTCCAGTCCAAGTTTTTAACTCTTTCTCCAGACCCTGCAGTAATATGTGTATTACGTATATATGAAAGCATTCACATATACACACACACATAGATCTATATACAGAAAGCAAACATGGTTTCAGGAGAAGAAAGCTGGTCACATGCATGTGTATTTTTCCTCTCCTCTTACATAGATTTGTGAAAATGCAGAATACTGATCTTTGTTTCCTATATAATCTGCAGGCTGTTGTACTAAAGGCCGAAAACATTGAAGCACCTCACTAATTGCTGAAGTATTTTAAATAAAAGAACAGGGTATGTCGTGCTTACATTAAAAGGTAGAATGCTACAACGAATTGCCTTGTACTGGAGTAGAAGTGGTTGCCTTTTCCAGCCTCCGATCAAAAGTACGTAGCTGAATCTGAGCTTTCTCAAATTTGAGTGCAACTACTATATATATAAAAGCATGTTTATATCTGTATACGTTAGACAACCAGTGCCTTTCTTTTCCAGAAGTCCTTCTCTCACTGGGATTCTTTGGATAGAAGTGAGGGGTTTTCTGTGTTCTTGGCAAAGTAGTATAGGCTTTCACATATTTAATAAACCTAGTGAGCCATGCACCTTTGTCACCAAAATTAATACTCCCCTTACGCAGCGATGTCTGTGTCTCAGCTCACTGTTCCTCACATGAAATGAGTTGCTTTTGTCTATCATCTTTAAAGATACAGTGTTCCTTGCAAGTCTATTCCCACACAAAGAATTCCCTGCATGTTCACAAATGCAAATACTGGGGAAGTATTGTGGAATTAGTCATGCAAACCGGAACTGCAGTGGTACTGGCTGAATAAACAGTACGCTCCAGTATTTTTCAGCATGTGTCACTACAACTAGTCCTGTGGCAAAGCCAATAGCTCAAAAACTGCCAGAATCTGGCAGGTACTATTTTGAATTAGTTACAGACATAATGGTGGGTCATTAAAGAAACAAAGATGGTGTTTTCATGTCATCATGCTCTGCTATTTTAAGATACCTTACAGTGCTGGTTCATGTCCAGCTCACTTTAGAGAAGGTTGCTTGTGTGTGTTGTCAGAGACCCTGTGGAGTCAGGGAATCAAGGTTCAGACATTGCAAACTGTTAGGTACTTTGACAGATGTCCAGTTGTGTGGGTGGTTAGATATTCCAGTTGAATTCTGCGATAACAACATAGACAGCATTGGAGTTACTCTGGGTTTGTACACGTTCTTTGCTAACAGTGATTTATATGAAAAAATGTGTGATGTCGGCAAAACTGCTGGAATTAGCCATGGATCTGGTGCCATTACTAATGGCAAAGAGCAGAAGTGTGTTGTTCCAATATGCTGGCAGCCTCCAAAGCTTTATGTAAAAGGATACTATTTGATACAGATCAGATTAATTTCTTTAAAGTCCTATGTTGTTGTAAACAAGCCAGTTCCCCAAATGGATACACTTTCATTTCTGCTTTGGAAAAATGATATAGCTTCTCACGGTAGCTAAAGGAGCAGACGGTGATGTGGAAGATGCTTTCCTCTCAGGGATGCCTAGCTCCTATCCAAAAAAAGTTATTCCATGTGAATGAGTAAGATAAAGTCTTCTGTCACTGCCTTTCATAAGCATAACGAAAGTCTTGATCCTGTCCTCAGAAAGTGCCGGTGCAGTAGGAACAAGCCCAGTTCGTTTTTCAGGACTGCAAGGCAAAAGGATGAACTGAAACTACTGCTCACATTACTAACTTTCAGAAGACCCAACTCTAAAAGGACAGTTTTCTGGCAAGATCTGCCTGCTGGCAGGAGACTCAGCCTGGGGTTCTGTAGGTGTTTTGGGTTTCAGACAATGCTCTGCCCTTGTGTGGCTGTCTCGGCTGTACTAACAGCCCTG